GTTTTTATCAGCTGAACAAACATCAGAAAACACACAAACTGTTTGTTTGGAGTTTGGCGCACAGTTTGCTGCTAGCTAAAGGTCCAGCTGCTGGATTCACAGGGAGACAAGAGAATGAGAGCTAACGTCGCTCTGAGATGGAGAAAGATGTAGGAAGACAGACAGAGAGGAAGAAGAGTGGTGAGATTTAAAGGTAAAGACTGCTCACTGATAAACTGCAGATTTAAAGCTTACATGTCATTTTAATCACATATTGAATTTGTGTATTTATAAATTATGTTTTTTTTTCATTTTGTGAAACGTCCTGCTAAACAAAGAAAGCTATACTAGTTGTGTGTTATTCAAATGTTTGAATGAAAATTCTGGGTAGTTATGTGAAGGATAAACAACTGTATAGGTCTAGTATAAAGATAGTATAAAGGGTATAGTGTCAGTGTAGGGGGTGGACATCGGACTTTGATACTAGCTTTGAAACATCTGATGACATCTTGTTGGATAAATCCACAAAGAGCAGAAGGTTAGCTGATCACAGCCAGTACACTACAAAAGCCTAATGAGGCTCACATTAGTAACTGTGAGATGTTATTCTTTTCCGTGCACTGAGCCACTAAACAGATATTAGTATTCCCCACCTGCTGAGTCCCACTGTAACCTTTGACTAGACTAATTTTATTGTTTAGGTGTATGCGTTTGCCACCTCTAAGGATAACACACCATGTCACTAAGCTTGTCAATGATTGTTAGTTCACTCTACTGAAATGAGCTCCACAGTCAGCATTTTGTTGAATGCCAAAAGAATTAAGGCAGTTCTGAAGGCAAAATGGGGACCAACCAGGTACTGGCAAGATGTACCTAATGAATCGTCCAGTGAGTGTATATACAGTAAAAGCATTTTGTCCTTAAATTTCTTCAGATTTCTGTGAACCTGACAACATGAAGCTATTAATATCCCCTGTGCTCTTGGCTCTCAACTGAGAAAATATCTGTCGTCTACTGTGGCCCCACTAATAGCTCATGTACAGAGCTGTACTTTATTGACCCTGTTGCTCCTAAAATCCAAGGGGTGCCTTGAGTCTTCGGCTTAGCTCTCTTCTGCAGTGCTTAATGAGACCAGATGCTGGCTCATATTAGGGTTCTTTTTTTTCTTTGAACAGCTGTACTGGCAACCTGCTCATCTATTGGCTCGGTGTGGCTGTGGAAGGAGAGACATTTTCTGGAGTTTCTGAGAGATCGGTTCAAATTATCATTTTTTTGTGCAAATACATTTTATGTTTGCATTCAGCTACACTGAAGATACTTAAACTCACGTTTTTCAATTAAACAGTTCTGTGTAACCATGTTTCGGTGTTTATGATACGGTGTTTATGTTTATGATACCAGTCTCCAGCTGGTAAAGTCAGACTAGGTATCAAAATATTCAATGCTGATTTAGAGATCATATGTGTAAAATGGCCTGGTAAATGGCCTGTATTTCATTCACACACTGGTGATGGCAGCTACATTGTAGCCACAGCCACCCTGTGGTGCACTGACAGAGGCGAGGCTGCCGGACACTGGCGCCACCGGGCCCTCTGACCACCACCAGTAGGCACAAGGACACAACGACCGAGACTGTCCAAGCCAGGGCTCGAACCAGCAACCTTCCGATTACAAGGCAAACTCCCAACTCTTGAGCCACGATCGCCCCTACTATATCTTATAGGTTAACTTTTAACTGTCTCACTCTTTTCTCTTGATCTCTCATTTAGATACAAGCTAAATTTCACTTGCTAATCTTGGTAGCGTATTACTAACCTTTACTTTTGGGCATTATATTGTAGTGATGAAGGAAAAGGCACAGAGATACTGCTGTAACATTTCTTTCATTTTGCCTGTATTTTCTCTTATGATACAGCAAATGGTACAGCTTTTGAATTTCTGTTACACTGAAATATCTTGATGCATGCTCAATCATCCAGGTAATGAAATCCAAGAAAGCTTATTCTGTTCATCTGGATGTAGCGTTGGAAGAAACATTTGTCACTCATCCAGGTGACTTAAATGAGTGAGCCAGTGTTGATTGTGTTCATCTCGATGAACACAATCAACTTTCTGAGTGTTACACTGAGAGTTGGCCCTGTCTACTTTATGACTGATTTCACTAACTTAATCACCCCTGTGCCGTTCACAATGGCTGAGGCCTTGTGCGTATTGCTATCTCATACAGCGAAAGCAAAGAGAGAGCTGCTGACTTTTTGTTTGGCTGTTTAACTCACATTTACAATAATGTGCTGAAGTGTTGAATCACCCCTCATTTATTATTTTTTTGGCTTCTAAGAAGACAGCGTTAATTTTTTAAATGTGGTTTTGAACAATAGTTCTCTGGGCTTTTCCAAGCTGGACTTTGATCACTTTTTAACTCATCTTCAGTCCAGTCTTTCACTTTAGTCCAGGGGCAAACAAATGCCAGTGAGAACACACTTTTACAGACATACTGTTAAATTGTAAGATAATTCCCAAAGAGCTAATAGCTTAAAAATTTACCATATCTCAGTACACTGTGCAGTGTGTTCTTAAAAAATCAGAGGAAACTGGACACTTGGAAACTGGAGGACAAAAAAGAAAAAAGATGTGGCAAGCCTAAAAAAAAGAAAAATCTGCAACAGATAAACAGTATTTGAAAGCCCCCAAAAAATCCAATTGAGACCTGACACAGGCCGACGATATAAATCTGGTGCTTTAGTTGATTGCGCTAGTGTTCAATGAAGCCTCATCAGAAATGGTCTCAGTGGAAGGGTGGCTGTCAAGAAGCCATTCTTCAGATTTTGATCCACCATGAATTCAACAGCTTTATTTTTCAGCAGCCATCCCAAACACACTGCCAATGCAGTAAAAGCAAGCCAGATATAAATAAACTTTTTTTTAGTAGAGGACTATACAGTAATATTGTATCATTATACTTTGAGGCTTTCATTGTAGTATCTTATTGTATATCATCATTTCTCTGAAGCATATGTGGCTGTGGGTACTTGCTGTTAATTTTAACTTTATTGATTTCACATTAGGTTATTTGACAGCTAATAACTTACATAGGTTGCATTGCTAGTCCAGTACTTCACATGCCATTTGGGTTATTAGTATTGATCCGCCCTATCCTGTTTAGCAGTTTATAAAGCATTTAACAGTCCTGCTGCAGTCTCCAGCTGTTTAGTGTTGCACTTTCTAAAGATTGTGAGAGTCATAAAAGACAGATTCAAACCAAAAACGGTGAAGATGAGCGATGATAGTATAGTTTGATTACTGGCACAGTAAAATCAATTGTATAACAACTAACTCTGATAACTCTTTGCAATACTTCACCAGGAATCGATCGGAATAGATTTCTTTTTTTACTTGTGTAGCTCCCCCATTGGTTTTCGCTTTCCCATATATGGAACTATAATCCAGTGACACTGGTGTGTTTGTTTGTTTCTTTTAAAAGATCAAACCTCCAATTTGAATGAAATTTAAGCAAAAGAGCTGAGCCAAGATAACTCTGTTGACATCAGTTTTTTTTATTTCAGTGAAATTTGCCCTTATATGCACTTATAATAACCTTTTACATATCAAACTTCTTGATAAGTTCCTGAGCATTTAAGATAAAAAAAAAATTAACGATGTGCTGCTTTAAAGCCAAACAATGATAAAGCCTTTCCATTCACTGACCCTTAAAATTTGGACCAGCCACCCACTTATAATGTCAGATTATCTGTGCCAGACCTAAAGCTCATTTTAATGGTGTGGGAAGTGTTTACTCTCTGCGTATCTCTGCTTTGTTATTTTGTTTCTTCGTGTACTTTCTTTTTCCACCCTGTCGTGACTCAGACAGAGGCAGTTATACACGGATTTCCAGTGATACACTAAACCAAGCATCTCATTCCGGTTCCTCTGGCTGGGTCTCTACCTCCTGCATCAAATTCAGCTTTTGATATCAGCCAGCCCAAAGCGGGGCACCAGCAATGAAGCTGTCATGCTGTTTTATCCAAACAGACTCTTCCGCCCCAAACAGAGTCTGCCTGCAAAGCCGCTGTAATCCAACCCTGAAACTTGCCAACTTCCCAGACTCACAGAATCGTATCACCTCTCCGAATGGCTTTCTCCACCCATCCTTGTTTTCATCACCTCTCCTTCCTAACTCTGCTCCTCTCCATGTTTGTCAGTATTTCTTTATCCTCTCATCTTCCCTCAGTCTTCTGTCTTTCCGCTGCCTCCCTCCTCTCCCTTCACCTTGCCTCCCCTCCTGTGACCTCTTGCCAAAGCTCCAGGGATTCACTCAGTTGTTGTGATGGCAGAGGACTGTGGGATACCAGCTACAGTTTTAATGATTTTGCCCCCAGGCACAGATCAGCCAGAGAAATACAGCTACCATTTTTCAACAGAATGGGAACTCTCACCCAGGCAACGCCTCTGTGAAATATGTGTGAATTTGGATATGCCTGTGCACAAACATCTAAACTTGTTTTAATATCACATTCTAAGCGATGGCTTCGGCATTTTGTTTCTGGTCACTTTGAGAAATTTTAAATTGCATTATTATACATGTTTTCATAGCTGCTAGCGAGATAACTTTTGAGTGGGAGCAGTGTTGTTGCTGAAGTTGGAAGTTCATTTTAACTGTTTTTCTTTGTTTTCCTCCATGCCGCTTTGTCTCTCTTCATAGCTTCCACCGTACTCTCCCTCTCTCTTTTGGCTCAAGTTTGACAGCAGAACTGCGGCACGTCCTGCAAACACATTGCAATTAGCATCATGCGCTTCAGTGCATCCCAAACCGCTCGCTGATGAAGTTCAATCAATTCGCTTTAATTATAACTTTCTCAGAAACAGCTCTAATTTCTGCAAAAGTTTGATCTCTCAGGGGTTTTTTTTTCAATAACAAGCTGTGGCAGGTAGTTTAGAAAAGTAGCCATTTGGAAAGTGCTGTTTATACGTCTATGTTTCTGTCTAATCTCACTCACCTCCTCATGTTCTCTCTCTCCCTGCAGACATTGATGACTGCCAGTCGAATCCATGTCAGAACGGAGGAACCTGCATCGATGAGATCAACTCTTTTGTGTGTCTTTGTCTGCCCAGCTATGGTGGCGCTACTTGCGAAAAAGGTAAAGGTAAAAATGGGATTGCTTCCCCTTTTACTCATTAGTTCATTTTAGTAAACGCTGCATGTGTGCAGGGATGAAATACATTCCCTCTTTCTAATTTCTATTAGTTCTTAGCTTACCTTAATTTTTGGATCAACCGGAAACTTTAAAAGGGGCTTCTGGGACAACCTGATTATACAAAATTACAGTAGTAAAAATGATAAAAGGAGTTTTTCAGCATTATTTCCAGAGAGTATATTCCTAATGTTAGTAATATTGTGCTGTTGAAAGTAGCTACTCCAGGATGAGGATAATGCAAAAAAAATACAGAAGAAAAACAGAGCTGTGCAGGACCAAAAGGAAGAGATGATGAAGGTGGAGAAGCAAGGTAACAAGCGAGGATAATAAAAAAAAGAAGACTGGGTATTCCTCTGTGTATATGCAAAAGAGAATAAGAAGATGGTTTAAGACCAGTATGTGGAGACAAAGGTAGATTTAGGAAGATGGAGTTAATGAGTTATGTGTCAGTGAAGACAGAGGAGATAGAGGAAATGGAGAAGGAGGGGGTGAATGTAGACAAAGAAGTTGAGGAGGGGGAGACAGGGAAGCCCTGTGGCATAATGTATGGGTTTATAGAGAACACCTGCGTCCAGCTGGTTTTGTTTCTCATTATGGGAATTCCCATGTGAGAAAAGGGGCATTTCATGGAAACGTGGCCTACATGTCACTGCAGAACACCACTGAGGGGTACTTACAGCTACTGTTTGCATTAGGGTTTGCTTTGAACAGATTTTTACCCAGATTCTACGACAGACATATTATTGGATATTTTCTAATGTAAGAACCGTGTAATCAATGCAGTCTAAAGAAAAGAAGGTCACATAACGCTGACAGTTGAGACTGAAAATGAAACCAAAATTGAAGATAAAAATGGAGAAGAAATGTGTACGGCCCTCACCATGTCTCAGGTTAAAAACAAAGTACAGTTATTGCATAAGTACCTTTGTAGTCTCTCAGGCAGATGCTTGTCTAAATAAACAAATGCCGATTTTCTTGGAAATCATTAGAAAGACATCCCAATTAACTTTCCTGAGAATCTTGATAAATTTCAGGGTTTCTTAAGCATGAAAATAACCTAGAATTAGTTGTCTCTGTATACTCGATACAGTGCAACCAGGGATTTCTCATAAGTAAATTGGCTCATTTGTGAAGATGTAATAACTTGGGATGTCAAGTATTAACAAACGTTGGCAAAGAAAACACATTTGAGATATTGAGGGGGGCAATAACTGCGTAAAGCAAACTGTGAATCTCCTAAAATATGAGCCTTAAGATAGCGCAATTAAATTTAAAAAGTGAAAACCAATGAAGACAGCTGAGCTGACGAGTTTTAGGTAGAGGGAGAGTTAGAAAATTGTGCTTAATTAAATGCAGCCAAGCTAAGTTCCTGCCCATTCAGGTTGACCTTTGACCTTATCTCAGAAGAAGAGTTGTGTCTCTGAAGATGTGTCTTTTCTTTTAATGCAAGTTTTGCTTCTGGTCTCTTTTGCTTTTTACTACTCTTTTCTGATCTGGGACTTTGAGGGAACAACAATCGATGCTGCGCAAAGAGCGGGAAGAGAATGAAGCACAATGGACATTTTAAATGTTGAAAACTTTAGTTTTGGTTTTGGCAGGTTGCAAAAAGAAAAGTAATGACATGTAAGCAGAACAAAAACACAAAGCTCCAAATTAGCTCTGCTCTTTGACAGCGTGCAGGTTAGTTTCCACAGCAGTTTGACACTCTAGTCCTCACTGACACATATTGACTACTGTATACTGACTTATACTGTAACATTTCTGCTCATGAATTAGCTCTTTTCTTTTCTTATGTAGGTGCTTTTCTGTACATCAAAAGTAAGACTTAAAGTGTACACTGGTGTTTATCTATTAAACTCTTAGTCCCTTTTCTTTTCTGCACTGAGATAATTATTAAAAGAAAACTAATGCATTACATTACTTAATTACTCCCAAGAGACAATAATTTTTTACGCTTCATGTGACATTATTTGTGCGTCACTCTTTAACATAACCTAAAGCGCACTATCATATTATTACAAGTTAACAATGTAAGCCTACAGCCACATGCCGAATCAAATGCCTATCCCAATGAGAACATGCTTACAATCTTTCTTTTAGTGTTTAAGTTTGAATATAAAAGTTGAAAATCATCCCAAAGAGATTTCAATTTAACTTTCAATTCAATTTCAATTTATTTATTTATTTATACAGCACCAAATCACAAAAAACAGTCACGTCAAGGCACTTTATATTGTAAGGTAGACGCTACCGTAATACATACACAGAAAAACCCAACAATCATACGACCCCCTATGAGCAAATGGGTGTGGCAACAACTCTGATGTAGCAAAGTTGTTGCCACAGCAATTCTACAGTTGAACTATGTAAAGGTAAAAATGGAGGCTGCAATATGTTGGCTGTGTCAAAGTCACTCACCACTGACTTTGTTACCTGTTGAAGATCGGGCTGTGGCCGCTGTGCTCGGGTCTGCATACAGACAGACTAAACATCACTCTGGGTTCTTCACCTACTGTAATAGTATGTCACGATCCTGGGTCTTATGACCCAGTGTTTTGAGTTTTAGTTCATTTTGATGTTTATAGTATGTTTAAGCTCATTAGGTCTCCTATGTTCATTTGCTTATTAGTACCCCCTTGTGTTTCCAACCCATGTTAAGTCTCCCCTGCTCTTCATGTGTTTCATGTCTGTGTCTTACGTTGTCAAGTTCTGGTTGTCATGTCTGCGTCTCATTACGTTTCCTATTTTATTTTGAAGAGATCTCGTGTTTTTATATTATGCATTATGTTTTGAGTCCTTTGTTGTACTGTTTCTTGTTTCCCTAGGTCTCAGTTATGGTTATCATAGGTTTAGTTCTTTGGCTTTGTAATATGGCTTCCCTGTGTTCCATGTTGTGTCTACTGTGACGTTTTTGTACCATGTTTCAGGTTCCTATGTTCTGTCTTCCCAGTTGCTGTTAAGTTTACAGGTCTAGAGTTCAGTCAGTGTGTTCCCTGTTTTACTTTGAAGGTCCGTGTCTCATGTCAGTGTTTCTAGTTTTGCTTCCCTTGTCTCGTCCAGCCTGATTACTCCCAGCTGTGCTCTCCTTCTGTGTCTCGTTCCCTCGTTATCCCTCTGTGTATTTGAGCCCTGTGTTTCTCTTTGTTAGTGTCGTAGTCTCCCTCGTGGCCTGTGAGTCAGTTTATCCATGCCCCAGTTTAGTTTTGTTATATTTTTGTGCCATTCTGCAATAAAGCAGCTTTTTGAGTTTTATTCCTGCGTGGTGAGTTTTGCGTTTGGGTCCTTCTCTTGCCTGCACACAGCCGAAACATGACATAGTATTCTGTCTGTGCAGATGTTTGCAATGAGCCCGTTTTGTGTTAGTATAATGCAGCTGTTTCTGCCCTGGGTGTGATTTGCCATGTACCATAACACTCGTCCTTTTGTGGAATAAAAATAAATGTACTGTCCATATCTGTGCTCCTGAGAAGTCATAGACTGATCTACCATGTTCCTTCTTCTTTCACACAAACTGAAACCAGCTGATTTTAGTGTAATTGTGCAGAGGGAAAAATGCACCTTTGACATTTTTTTTTTTTTTGCTATCCACCTATCATGCAGACAACTGAAGATCATTTGTAATGAATATTGGCATAATTGTAACAGAAATGTGATTATTAATTTAGTACAGTAACACATTACTTTGTAAAGCAGTCCACCCAGGATTTAAAATCTTATTATAGTTTTTATTTTTTTTGAAAAAGCACACACAACATAATTGAAAGCAATGCAACACACACTACAGAACATTGAGCTTAGCATTATCTCAGAGCAACACAGATGTAAACAATAATGGAGACTTTGGTGCCACAGCTTGCTGCAGTAAGAAACAGTAAAATCAGAAGGCTGAAGTTTGGATGAAAGTGCTTGGAAGGATGCAGCTTTAGTGAGAAGTGATGAGTGCTGAGACTGTGTGCAGTTATAGTTGTCAAAAATAAGTATGTTAGCTAACATTAGTCTAAGCATCAGCTGTTCCAGGACTGGCATTGTACATAAAGTCATATTTGTTGTGTACTAAAAAGCTTTTACTCCATTTCAGCTGTCCAGTGCTCCCGTACAGTAGCTTGTTGTTTTACAGTCACTATTTCAAGTGCTTTCTCATTCACTTCTGTCTGCTTGTAGACTGAAAGTGCTGATTTAACTATTACCATGCTGTCATATTGCAGATTTTAATAAATGTCACAGATGTTTGATGTTATTGAGATTCTTTTGGAAGGTTTCAAATGAGTTTTGTAAACCCTTTACAATACCACTGTAGGGCATTTTGACTTGAATATATTTCTTGAAAGTCCAACAACTTCATTCACAAGCTGTGTTAAATCTTCTAAATGCTGCCTTTAATCTCACTGGTCCCTGTATTTTCATTAGTTCTCATCTACCTCTTTTTGATCTTTAACCAGAGCAAATGTTACTTTGGTCACAGCATTTGTAATTTTCCTTGAGCTTATGATTGTCTCTTTAATATTCATTCACTTCCTCTGGTGCAGATCATGAATAAACAAACAAAAGAAAAACATTTAGGCATAGTTTAAAAGTCCCATAAAAATGCAGAGCTTCTTCAAATCAGGGTTGGTTATTAAATGCTTGATTGATCTCACGAATTAGACTTTGATATCCTTCAATATTGCATCTATAAGACATATAAGAAAAAGTGTAGTTTTTTCTTTGCCAAACACAGAGTACCTGAGTGCGCCTGTCGTTTGACATGCACACGAGCTCTGCGTACGTTTCCTCTCCTGCTGCGTTGCTGCCTTCATGGCTGATTGGGAGCAGCAGGACTGATTGTGTAAATCTAAAGTCTCTGTTTTCCTGTCGCTTTTATCTCTCGCTGCTCTGCACTCGCAGAAATGTGGGATTCAGCTGTGAAAAGTGCGATTCGCAACAGGCGTCGCTCTGCCATTTCA